ACCAATAATATGATAATTACTAAATAACTTAAGATGGTCTCAGCAAAAATAACTTAAAAATAACAAAACATCTAAATATATTACTAAGCTGACCATTACCTGCTTCAGTTTAATTGCAGATAATATTTTTTCCACAACAACATCCTGCGGCTGGTTCCAGATGGAAGCGGTTCCATTGTTGGTAATATAGGCTTTACATGCAGATATCATCTGATTTGTCACCTGGGATTTTCCAATAAAATGGTGTTAGGTACATAAGACAGGCTTGGATTATAAATTGGACTAGAGGGTCCTTAACTCCTCTACCTCTCAGAGTTCACGATCTGCAAACTTGAGCGTGCAGTTTATATTTTTTTCCATCACAATGATGAGCAAGCACTGACCCTTTGATATAGTCAAAATCATGTGTGGAATCAGAGTGTTGGTAGCACTAGGAAAAATCAACAATTCAGGCACCTTGTTTGTGCAGGACGAATGTCTTAATCAACCAAGGAAGCATTCACCTCCATACCTAATGAGTTTCCCCAATCTCCTTGGGTAGCCTGCTCTAACGCCTAACTCACAGTTTAGTAGTGCCATGTACAGTACCGTCCACCCTGATCTTTCCATGCCACCATGATCTGCAGTGGAAATGTCAAAAGAAAAAATCCACAAACAGTAAAGCTAATGTTCAAAACCACTAATACTTTATTCATCCCTCCAAACTTTATAAAATTCCTTCAGAGCTTTCTTGATCTTTTTTTAAATAAAAGGAAAATTGAATGGCTGTACTGTGTTCATGGAATGACACGATGTCCAGGATTTGCAGTGCAAGGGATGGCCGTATAGGGGAAACAAGATTGGCCATGTGTTGAAAGTTGCTGAATCTGGGTGATATGTACGTGGGGGGTTCAGGATATAATTCTCTCTCCTTTTGTACCTACTTCAAAATTTCCATAATGAAAGGGTTTTGGTAACTACATAAATGATTGTTTCACCTTTTCTTGTGGTTTGGGTTTGGCCTTTCCAAATCTCATGTTGAAATTCGATCCACAAGGTTGGAGGTGAGGCCTGGTGGAAGGTGCCTGGGTCATGGGGGCAGATCCCTCATGAATGGCACGGTGCCCTCTAGGGATAATGAGTGAGTTCTCCTTTGTTGGTTCACGCAAGGGCTGGTTGTTTAAAGGAGCCTGGCACCACCTCCTCTCTCCTGCTCCTTCTCTCACCATGTGACGTATCTGCTCCCCCTTCGCCTTCCACCTTGACTGGAAGCTCCCTGAAGCCCTCACCAGAAGCAGATGCTGGTGCCATGCTTCTTGTACAGCCTGCAGAACTGTGAGCCAAATAAACCCCTTTTCTTTATAAATTACCCAGCCTTGGGTATTCCTTTATAGCAGGGCAAAATGGACTAATACACCTCTTTATTCTAAATCAAGTCTTGCAAATAACATGTATAAAATCTAGATTAATAGCTCAAATTGAATTTTGAGTCTCATTTACTCAGGAAATATCCTCTCTAACTCTAATACATAGTTTTAAAGTATGAAGAAGTTGGGGAAGAATCTTGCATACATCCTTCCTTTGTACTTGAACTACCTAGAGGAGAGAAGAAAGAAAAAAAGTTTCCCATGGAACTCTTAAGGCTGGATGTCTCTATTCCCAGGAAGATTTATGCCTCCTACAACATTGGTATTCAGAACGCAAGTCTTGATGAGTCAAAAATGCATCTATTTTAATTCAACATTTAAGATTTTTGCCTTGATAATGAAAAGACATTTACTTCTTAGAGACTCTTCAAAATGGAACTAGCAACA